ATTGTAACATTTAATTTGTAAGGCGGGCTCTGATGTTTTTTTTCTAAAGCTTATGTTATTTTATGCTAATTTCTTAAGTATGTTTCTCGCTACGGAACACTGAGTTCTCGAGTATGTAGATATTGCGCATAGGATAGACACATGGGTCAGTGACATTAATACGATGTGACTGCTTTATGTGCTGTAATATTATAATTATCAATAAAACTATCAGGTTGTAAGTCAATCTTTTTGAAAGTTTAAGAAAGTTGGCTACTCTCATGTTTCAATAATCGTACTTGAAGTTGTACGATTATCAATTTTGGAGAAATTTTTCACTTTGCATTATTATTATTTTTTCGCTCATCTTTAACGGAAAACAAAATTTAATTTCATACTATAAACTATGATTTTGACCTGTACTTTGAGTTTGAATTTTTCTACCCTGCACTATTTTAGTATTAGTACCATTTGGAACACAAGAGTAGGTGTTTAAGAAAAAGTTAATATTTTAACCAATTGTGATTATTTGTAAAACTCCCAAAAATTCGTTTGTGTTATGTTATTACTCTAAATAATTATAATTTAAATTGGATTTGTATTGTAATTTGTAGTATGTGTGAAGATGGGTTCAATGTAGTCTGTAACTGCTTTTTTTTTTGTGGCTACGGTATTTAAAAATTTAAAATACTGATTTTTTGGAAGTTGGATTCGAAAAATTTGGACTTGGAATATTTCTATTAGTACCCTAAAGTTAAGATTGCTAATATAGAGTATTCTAGGATAACAAAATAAAAAAGTAAAGAAAAACAGGTTTGTTTTAAAATACTGTAGTACTGTTAGTGTTAGAACTAATAATACTACTAATAGTAATACTAATTGTGGTATTAGTATTATTGCTAACTTAGTAATGCTACTGTTGATAAAAGTATACTAATAACAATATTAATAACTTAGGTGATAACTCTCGCAAGGTGTAACTAAATTAGTAAATAAATGGTAGGACTAGGACAACCAGTAAGTGAGTACTTGTTTGTACATATTTTTGATATCTGCGTTGGCTAGTACTAGCAGTAGTAGTAGTAGAAGAATAGGTGCAAAAAAAGGCTAAGGCTTATTTGTGAAGAAGTAACATTTTACAATTTAAATTAAGGACAATAACTTATTAGGGCCTGTTGCCAGTGTTGGGCCATCTACTCCCATCCATTTCAGACAAAACTTTTAAAGTAAAGAATTAAAAAGACGAAAGCCAGCCTTTATGGTTTATCACTTTATGAGTTTATCAATATTATTTAAGTATTTACCAAGTTTTCCAAAGGCCCAATCAACCTGTTATAAAAGTAAACTGCCTTACTCTTAGCTGAGAATGACTTACCCTGCCAAAATTTATATTTCATTATTTGTGTCCCCATGTTCTATCATTCTTATCATTATTGATTGTTAAGTATGAAAACAAAAGATTATTCACTAACACTATCAATTCCCTTCAACTTAAACACTTTTTCTTAGAAAAAACAATAAGTTCTTAACATGTCTCATTATCGTAACTTTTACATTCCAGGTATCATCCTAGTATTAGTAGTAGTCCTCCTTTGAACACTTTCCAACAATTCAATATCCTTATTTAGGTAAGGAATCCAAGACTGGACACAATAAACCAACTAAGGCCTGACAAGTGGTGTCCAAAGAGCTGTTAGTCCGAAGGACTGATAGTCACAGGTTTTTGTTTTTTGCAGTACAAGTCAAAAGTGAATGAATAAGCAAATTTTTAGGTCTATAATAGATGAATGCAATCTCAAATGAAAAGTTTAAAGGGTACATCTTGGCAAGGGTTTGTGTGACCAGCTGCCTCAATGACTTGCTCTCATTTTATATGCAAACAACAGAAATGTTTCAACTTGCATTATATAGTGTACAGCTCATTGCATTGGCTCAGTGTAAAGATAATTTTATTGACTGGAAGCTTTTAACATGTTTAACAAGTTGTGGATATAATGTTCATTGTCACAACTCTATGGAATAAGAATCTAGAATGTCCATTCTCTCAGAAGAGCTAGATTTCCAAACTGAATCCTGATGCATAAACATGTGGGCTCTGCAGCTAACACAATACATCCATACAAGAAAATAACATCAGGAAAATGATGATAAACATTATCAATCCATTCATGAAAAATGGTAACCTTTTAGGTTGTATCCTGGGGTGTTTTTGTCATAAAGTTTCCCAAATTTAACACGTTTTCTGCCATGTGCCCCACTGGTGGGCCAGAACCAACTTAGTTATGAACTGTGTGACACATTGGTGGATTAAAGAGAATTATGTTTCAGAGCCAAATTTCTCTTGTGGCATATGAGTTTGGAACACTGTGACTGCTCCCCAGCTCCTTTTTAATGTTTAATTGTATTTATACTTAATTTATTATATGGTAGTCAATGTGTTAGCCAAACAATCAATTTAGCATTTTAACTATTAAAAAAGTATCTTTGGGCCTTTGGAGTAATGAGCCCTTGAACTAACAGACTGTCACCTAACAAGTGACCTATAGTTTACAATGAAGAAATAATCTCTTAGACATATATTCAGTATTTCTGTTAATACAGCCTAAAATCATACTTGACTACCACTAACAACAGCACACTGCTTGGATGATTTAGGAGATTGGTCAACTAAAACACTGAAATCTTTTTCTTCCATAACATTAAGATTATTCCTATCAAATTTTGTTTTTAATTAGAAATATGATAACCCAAATACAATATTTTGCAATTACCATAATTAAAAGTTCTCTGTGACTTATTAGCTAAAACACCAAATATAAATTGCCTGAGGAGTATCATTCCTTTTCCCACATCCAGCAACACCCAAGGTGTGTGTCTGTCTCTCTATATATATATACACACATACATATGTGACACACAGTTCAGTTAACACGAGTTGTATAAATATGATTGATAATTAGGATCTGAAGCAACTGATTGATTGATTCTTGATAGGGGATGAATACATCTAAAACTAGCAAAGATAGTAATGTTTAAATGGGCTTAAGTTTATCAATTTTGATAAAGATTAAATAGCTTTGGCTGAATTAATACATAAAAATGTAAGTTAAATTTTAAAAATAGAATATTTAACAAGTTGTGGATATAATGTTCATTGTCACAACTCTATGGAATAAGAATCTAGAATGTCCATTCTGTCATTCTTGCTTTGTCAGAGAGGGGATCTACAGATCCATTGAAAATAATTTTGCTGTGGGGGAAATGGGAGTACCCTGAGAAAACCCACTTTCACTGATCAGGGGCTGAATATTCTACTTGATCAGCAGTGCCTGTTGTTAAGGGTTAACTGGAGATTATGAAGCTTTTTCCTACTTTTATTTTATTTTTTAAAAAGGCTACAGCTTGGGAGTTGGATGGATTGCAGGAATCTGACACTGCTTTGAGTGATATTTGGACCTTAAATGTCAAGTGAAGCAAGTTGCTAGAAGAATTCCACAAAACAATATCATCTGCATGTCGAAAAGCAATTGTATAATTTAAGGAATGGAACGGGATATCACTGACGAAGAAGTTGTATGTTGGGCTTAACACTGACTCTTGGAGGACACCCACTTCGAACATGGAGGTCACATTGCTGATTTTAACTTTAGCTGTTCTGTCACAAAGGTACTTTCAAAATATTGGATAAAAAGTTCAGAATGCTTGTTATAAATAGTGACAGTGTTGTTATTATATTGAATTTAATTTATGGTTTTTCATTTGTTGTCCATGATAGATTTAAATTTTCACCAGAATTTGGAAGGGTTGTGTTTGGATTTATCAATTGGTAGGCAGAAGTTTTCCCAGTAAGTTTCCAGGATCATAGGTGTTAGGGATTGTTTCTTTGATGGCTTGGGTTGTAGTACTGATTACATCAGAGGCATAATTATCAATTTCATTGTGGTTGTTTATGACTGTGATGTGCCTTGTTTAAAGGCTAAGTGGTTCAGGACTCATTGGCTTGTGAAATTGACACACAAAAATGTTAGCATGCTCTGAACTGAGTGCCTTGGAAACATTCTAAATAGTAATTGTGAATGAAAGAGGATATACACCTGTGGAAAGAAATGTTACTCCTCTATGGATGATGTGCTAGAATGTATTAAAAGTGCTTTATACAGAGTAGGAGTTCGATGCATAAAATTTTGAGTCTACTCTTATCTGGTATGGTCTTGCAGTAATTGGATTAGTTTGTTTGCCAGTCACTTTGTGGGTAAAGAATTAATGTTTGCATTACTTAAATTGCACGGTGGAAAAAATTGGATGTAGAATCCAAAGATTAGATCAGTTATTTCCTAGTAAGAGTATTGGTCTTTTGGTGAAGAAAAATTCTGATACTTTTCAAGCATTTTGGCCTTTTCTGGTACAATATATATATATATTGGTTTATGTTTTAAGAGATGTTTTCATTGAAAAATTAAAATTTCCAAAATAATTTATTTTCCATACATTTTGTGATGTGACCTGATTCAAGTTATGTTAAATGATTGCCCAATGATTAGAGCTAGATACCCAGCTATGATTGGCCAATCATGAGGTGGTATTCTGAAAACTATTAGTAGTCTATTAGCAAAGAGTGCTTTAATTGCTATGGCAACAGATTTGTAATTTGGTGTGAAGCACATGAGCGGAACAATTATGGGCTGTTCATGCTATTAGACCACTAATAGCATTTTCAGATTCACATTTTCTTCATTGCTAATAGTCCACTAATAATTTTATTGTTCACATTCTCTTCTTGACATATCCTACATAATATTATGCCATCATCTTTGTCATAGTTATTATCCCTCTCCCACTCTCCCCTGTAATGACTTTTGCTCTTTTATTCTTTTCATACTCAAGATCCTGTTGCCTTTTTTTTTCTGTTACTTTCTTTTTTAATCATCAAAATTTGTTTCTCTTCATTTAAGAAAATTTTAAACTTTCGGCAATTTTTGTGTGATTTGGGTGACTTTTATGCCATGTTCTCTGCATCCTTTGACTGTCATGGGTAGACTTATTTGCAAGTACAAAGCCCTTTTGCAACAACATTTTGATGATATCTACAAAATATAGATGATCCCAAAAACAAATTATTTCATTATTTATTTTGATTTGGAAAGGACACTAATTTAAGTTTAACTCATCACCACCTAATCCATTTTAGAGCTATTTGCATTTTTCCATATGTTGCTAATTTGAGGATTTTGATTATTACAAATTCAAATTCACGAATGACTAATTAACAGCTGTTTCAGGATATGAAAGAACTGATTACTATAAAGTTAATTTTAATATAAATTGTATAATTTTTCCATCTCTCCATCAAAAGTGTTTGAGATTTTATTGACGAATGTGTCGGCTGGATGGTAATGGGTTATATGGAACAAGAATAAATTACTCTAACAGTGATGCAAATATTTCTTTCATTATTTATTTTGACTAGGAAAGGACACTGCTTTAAAGGGAACAAAAGAATAGATTTCACTGGCAGTGATGCGTAGATTTTCTTTAATTATATATATTTTGATTATTAAAGGACACTACTTTAGAGGGGACCAAAACTTACTGTTATATCATGCTTTAGAGAGAAAATAATGATTATATATGAAAGAAAAATAATTTAAGTGATCTGAAATAATAATTAAATGTTTTAACTTGTTTTTTTTTCTTGAAATATGAGTTCACAACAGAATATATTGAGATATATTGGTATCTTTAGTTTCGTTTCAATTTACGTAACATCCACTATTTAATTCAGTGATCTTTAAGATAATCTCCACTATAGAGTACATTTTACAATGAGCTATAGGATTGGCCCCTAAAACTGCTTGCAAGACCCTAAAAATTCATGTATTGGGGCCCATCTGGCTCCCTAAAAAAATTTAAACATGAGCCTTGCATAGTGGTACAGCTAATAGTAAAGCTAACATAGTAGATACTTGGAGAAGAGAACATGTTTAAGATTTGGAAGAGACAGTAGGAGGTACCAGTTAAGACAGATTTACTTTTCTTACAGGATGATTGACTTATAGAATGAGATGCTGTCAACATTAGTGGAGGCCAACATTTATTAGGAGTTTAAGAGGGAATCTATGCTTTCCTGAAAAGTAAAGGGTGGGTTTAAATTATAATTTTTTCCAAGAGTTGGTGTGTAAGGACAGTCTTGAAGGAAAAAGTGATCTCTTGTTGTCCATAGGTAATGTTATATGAAGAAAAAAAATAAGATTTAAAAAAAATTAACATTTGTGAAAAGGTATGGTGCAATAAAGATGGGATAGGGGCTTTTGAATTGAATTGTAGAAGGGAAGATTAAGAATTGTAAATGTAATTAATGAGAGAAAATAGAGCTGGTAAATAAAATGTAATCACCATATTAAAAAGGTTTTGTGTCTCAGATTATCCACAACAACATTCTATTTTGTTTGGGTTTATAACATTGGCCACTGTATTCATTCTGTGTATCATTAAATAATTCATTGTTTTTCCAAACAGACTTAATAAATATGATATATTCTTAATCATCGTAGCATAGTTTTAGTCAACTTCCTCAACGTTGATATTAATGGTAGTATGCTTCGGTAGGGAAAGGAGATTCAACAGTATTATAGAATTGGCTTGTTAAAAAACTTTTTGTGTGGCTAGTCAAAGGATTGATGGTAGAAATTGTATGTTCACAAGAGCTTGAAATTAATGCTACAAGACTAGCAAATTGCTGGTTAGTGTTGCAGATTTGCTAGTAAAACTTAGAATGCACAAAAAAAATTGCCAGTACACATTTCAGAAGAAGATTTGCAGATTCTAAGTATCAGTACACCCATAAAGCATGCATTTTAGTAATTGTTATTGCAAGATTCTGAGTAGAGAAGGTTACTGTAATTGTGATTAACAAGATTGTTTCAATTGGCAGTGCCATGCCAGTTTTGAGATACCCAGTTGAATTGCATTGCTTACCCATACTAAGTATCGGGTAATGGGGCTAGCAAAACTGAAGCTTCAACTTATTTGATTGGTTGACAATGTAGTTAGCATGTGGCCCAGTTGGATAGACTTGTACCATCACAACTGTGCTGTTTTTGTGGCAGTGTGGTTAGAAATACTGTGCCCAAGTGGTTGCCCATTGGAGATAATAAAATAGAAATAATGTAAACTGCAGAATTTTTTCTCCATTGCTCTTAATTTTTCCATGATTAACACAAATGTTAGGCTTACTGGCTTCTAATGGTTCCTTGGCTTTCGGAGTTTAAACCATAATTTAAAAGAATGAAATACTGTAGTATAGGGTGAATGTCAGCAGTTGTTGCCATTGTTGATACAAGTGCTTGTGGCCCAGATACACCAATGTCTGCTCTAATCAAATATCTTTTAATTTCTGAAATGAATAGTCATCTCTTCACACAGCTTAGTTATCATCCTCAGATCTTCCACACATTCTGTCAAAGAGACTTGCCACTAGCCTTGTGAAAATTCCTACCTTATTTCCTATGAATTATGAATTTTCATCACTGTATGATGTCATGTTGCAGCCAAAGTCCTCTACCAGTAGGAGGGCAACACACCCCCTTACACTATCTCCCCCTATGCATTTGCACTCATGAATCTTTCTTGTTTGTGTTCAATTTAATGATATTTGCTTTATTAGCATAACTTTGATTTTTGTGTTCTTTAGGTTTTGTTTAAAAAGCTTTAATATCACGAGCACATTCTCTGAGTGTCCCCTGTGCAATCCCCCCTTTCCTTGTTTAGTGTATTACGGGAGACTCTTGCCACATACAAGTTCCTAGCAGTTAGGGTGGTAGACCAATTGGGACTTGACTGCTGGGGCTAGAACAAGGGGTCCCATTATGGTGAAAAGTGGGGCTGTGGTGACAATGAGAGTATAGTGTGGGTCACCCCACATATATATCTGTGGCACATCCCAAACTACATATGAACCGATGATACAATTCGCTATACCAATCTATTTAATATTTATACCTTGTAAGCTCTCCTTCTGCGGCCAGTGTCTGTTCAATAGTCGATTTGAACAATCTATTACTAGTCCCCACTACATCTCAAACATACCCTATCCCGTAAATGACAAGGGCCCCATAGAGACTGACAGTAGTGTTGAGGTGGACACACCGTACATGCCAGTGATGTATTTCTCATGTACTCTATTTTCTCAGCTGGCAAGGGACCCATAGAGACTGGTCATTAAGTAGAGATATATATTAGTATCCATAATGAAACAAATTCATACAGTGGCCTCCTCTCACAGCTGACATGGAGCTTGTAGAGACTGATAGTAGAGGAGGTGAGCATGGATACTTATCACAAGTATTCTTCTCCCACAGCTGATTTTGACCCATTGAGTAGGTGAGCACACGAGGTATGGTCTGAAACGAGCCCCAGCCTCACCGTACATGTAGTTGTCTGATACCTTGTGTGCAAGTACTTGGATGGCCATATATTGATTCTGCCTGTCCAAGCAACACAAATCAGGCTTATTTGCCCCCCCCCCACCTTCTTTCCTATGCAGGTGGAGAGTATACCCTGTAGGAGATGAGATGCAGTCTCCCATGCATGTGCCCCTATGGAGCCTCTGTCATTGAGTGTCACACCCCATGGGCTTTCTTCAGACACTTTTTGAAGGTGGCTCATCTAGATAATCTTTGTATTCGTCCATCTGTCATCTCAGCATGAGATTCCAGCTAAACTCTCTTTGGAAGTAATTATTCAATTTGGAAGTTAACATTTTCCTTACCTAAAAATCTATTTCCAATAGATACCTCTTTCGACTCATGTGTCCCACTTCCAGTGCACATTTCTTACTTGCTTTGTCAAAGAATGAAGATTCATGAGTGTAGATTCATAGAGGGAGTTAATATGCATGGAGCTATTTCATCCTTCTATTAGTGGAGGGTTTTTGCTACATGATTATATCATGATGCAGTGGTGCAAATTCACATGAAATTTGGTGGGAATTTTCCAAAGGCAAGTGGCATGCAAATATCTGTCAGAATGTGTAGAAGAGATGAGGAAGATAGCTAAACTGTGTGTCGAGGTGAGTATCCATCTGAAATACATTTTCAGGTAAGGAAAATGTTAACTTTTGTGAAATAGTTTAAGATAGTGATATGTAACTAAAATAAAATCTGATATTCAAAAGTATTTCAAAAGAAATGTGATATAGGAGATTTACACACATAAAAGGACATATACATATTTAGCAGCATTTAATACACAAAATAATTGACCCAATTAGTCAGTTTTGGAGAAACATAGTGTTGCTAGTAACACTCTCAAATACACTAGTGGGGAAAAAAACTACCAGCCATTTGCTAGACCTTCAAAAGTTAAGTTTCAGGTCTGGTTCATTCATAATCGTGTTGATTTTATTTCAGAAAAATGAATTAATATTACATCTGGGGTTGACAGTTTGAGTCCAGTTCTTCTAAGACAAGTCCAAGGAGTACTTGGAGATTGCAAAAATAAAAAAAACAAACATATGGATGCAGAAGCTAACAGAAAGTATGTATATATATTTTTCATAATTTTGTTGTTGAATATATTCCAAGATAAGTACTCATAACAAAACATTAAGAATTTATTCATTGTTTTTCACCTTACAGAAGGAGATGGGCATATGATGTTTAAAACTAATCTGTTTTGTTAGGACTGCAGTAGTTGGGCGATGGATGTTGCCACTGATTAGACTGGTGTTTTTAGCACTGCAGCAGTACATGGACAAATTGTGTTAAGTGGTGTGGAATTTGTGTTGCCTGACATCTGGGATAACAATATTTAGCATTGAACTTTGCCTATTGGACAAATAGTTTTTTCATATTTGTTCTTTTGCTAAAGAAACAAAAAAAGTAGATTTTTAGGGAGCTGTTCTTGAACAACTTGAACTGTGCAAGTATAGCATACAAATTAAAAAAAAAATTACAAAATTTGTACCCCTAAAACTCAAAAAGACTTGTGTGTGTGTGTATGTTAGATATACATGACTGTTTAAGTTTAATGCCAGTATTATTACTTCAATGGGTAAAGTACAGCACTAGTATTAAATTTAGTTTTTAGAATGATAGTTTATTGTAGGTTCAGTTGTGTAAATGTGTACGAATCATACATTTTGTAGTTTGATTGTGAATTGGCACTTGTATTATTGCATCATGTTACTAGAACCTTCTAAGTTTTCTCATCATTTTAATTGAGTATTATTTCATTATAATATCTCCTAGTGTGTAGAAAGTTCTAGGCCTCAGTCAGGCTATAAATACATGTACAAATTTTAGTTCAAGTTAAATTAGACAAAGTTAGTTAAATAGAGATAGATCTAGACTGAGTGATTGTGAGTTTAGCCATAAGGAGTGTATGGTAGTGATTTCTAAAGTGATATTATCACAGATTATATTGTAACAACATATAAAAAAGAAGAATTTGTCTTGTCAAGTGTGTTCTAAAGTAATTTAACCAGCCTATGTGTGGACTTGACAAAAAAAGACAATTATTTAAAGCCCTGGATACAGCTGTTGTAATCAACAGTGTAAAGAACAGTTGTATATATGTTTGACTTGTATTTAAATCGATGCAACAATAGTATTACATTGCTTTTGTTTAATGCAGGAACCTAGTAAAGTTTGGCTGCCAAATCTTGGAAGAATGTATATCAGTACAAAAATTACTAAAAAAAAGTGTACTGTTTTACACACATACAATGAAACCTTGTTAGTTTGGGCATTGATAATCTGGATGACTTTTTTATACAGACATATCTTCACAACTGGAAGTGTAATCAATAATTTGTATCTTTGCCTTCTAAATCAGAACAGCTATTCCTTAACAAATGTGCATTTTTCTATTAGATATATCTATACATGACTCCGTTAAAGTCAGGTAAGAGTCAATCAGAAGAGTAAATGAGGTGATAATTACTGACCACAAAATTCCTGCATCTGCAGAGGGTACTGTTTATAACAGTTTTTTTTTTAATAATCTTGACAGAGATTTACATGTAAGTTATACCATTTATTGAGAGGTTATTAGAGTGATTTATGCTAGTCTTGTCTAGTGGAGTGCTTCAAAATGAGAAAGTGCGGAAATATCAGGATAGTTAAAACATGTTTTATTCCACAAAGTCAGTATTGAGCCATAAATTGTAAATGTACATGAGGCTTTACAAATGGGAAGTTGCTCTCTGTTTACCAATTATATGCTCACCCTAATATCTTTGCACTCTTACATTTATCGATCAATAATACATGCTATTAATAGATAGCTCATTTATTCAAAGCGACTGATTTGATAATCTTGAAAACATTACAGTTTTTGGATCAGTGAGGTTTCACTGTGTATGTTAAACAACGTTTTAGTTCAAGGTGGCTTTAATTTAAACTGATTTCTTTATCAGTTCATTTGTGGGCTATTCTACAAAATCATTTAAGGGAAAAGTATCATAAATGAAAGCCTACCTTTAGCTTTTAGAAATTATATAACTTAATAGCATTTTAATGGGGTTATCTTTATTTTCATTTGAAGATGGAGGGTGGTCTTGGCTCCAGGAGCATGTCCAGTCATTAATTATTTCTTGTCTTATTCTCTTAGAACCATTACAAGTATAGGACAATGCAATGAACTCTGATTCTGGATACTTATTACACCACACATGAGTTGTGCAAGAATTTCTTCCAACTTTTGCATCTTATTTAAAGGGTGTTTATGGAATAGTGCAATGGTCAGGTGACTTTGTAGGAAGAGGTAGTAGCCAAAGTATTGTTGATAGGGGTGCTTTCTGTCACCTGCTTCCAACACCCAGCTCTTAATGCCATTCTCATTGTTTCATATGATTAATTAATTTTTGGTCATTGGTCGCAGAAGTGTGTTACGAGCCAAAGTTGAAAGGTCAAGTAAAAAGTGGGTATAGCTCAAGCAACAGCTCTTCATATCAGCCTTATGGTAGCTGTTAGAGTAGAAACTTCATTTAAGTTTATGTATTATTGCAACAGTGGCAGCCATTTTGTTTTTCCTTGCATTCCTCCATAGAGAGTGCTAGAACACTTTGCCCTCCACCACACTGTGTGTATGTTATTTTATAGAAAATTTAATAGTTTTTTGTTTTTGATGTAAGGACATGAGCCATCTATGAATGTAGTTAATATTAATTTACGTTAAAGATAATAAATCTCAATAATAGCAATAATGGGGTGTGGAGGGGGTTGTGAACCCCCCATTTACATGGCACTTATTCCAAACTATTGTCTTGCATTTTAGTTGAGATTGGCTCAGTGACCTAAGAGTAGCTAGATAACACAGACAGACACAAATTTTTGATTTATATATATATATAGGTCATTCACGTAAAATGTCCCAAAACTACTAAAATTTATCTGAATTTCAAAATATGCTATAAATAGGTTAAAAAATTCCATGTTTAGTGTGTGTTTTCTTATAGCAGAGCCACATCAGGCTGTCTTCTGTTTCCACTGAGGGCAATCAAACCCCTGACTTTAGAGTTGTAAATACAAAGACTTACTGCTGTCTCACCAGGGGACACCATGTTTAGTAACAGCATTGCTTCAATAAAGTGCATTGAATTTTTAGTGCACAAAGATGTAAGAGAACTTTTATGGTAAAAAAAGTGTGAAATATATGCTAACACTAATAATTTTATTTAATGTTAAAAAGGAGCACTGGTTTGTAACTAAACCTTGCCCATCTTCCAAATGCATATGTTTAATTAATCAACATTGTATTTAAAAATGAGTGATAGAAACACACTCTTGTAACTTTGTTCTAATTAACAGTCGGTTTATTTTGTATTGCAATGTTAGTATCACTAGATTCTGTTCTGTTGTGTATATAGTTTAATGTTTATTAGATATGTGTAATTAATCAAACATTTTGATTAGAATACTTAACTGTTAACCTGTTTTGAATGGTAACTGTTAATTAAAGATTTGTTTTGCAGTATTTATTTGGTTTCAGTTTGGTGGTGGTGGGGGCTTTTGTAGTGTAAACTTACTGTAAGTAGCTGTGAGAATCACGTAGTATGAAATGTGTGTACACAAACAATGTGCATTTTTTTAAATATAAAATCTTTCTCAATGTTTTGTATAATGTATTCTAAAACTACATTTCGGTGTTGTATTTCATTTATATGGATCATGTATAAAATAAAGGCTTTTCGGTTAAATATAAACTGTCATTGTAAGGTTTCAAAATAGGTTGAAATTGTTCTTCATTTTTTTGTTCTCTCCAATCTTTTTTACACTATTCTGCTTGGTCTCTCCAAGCTTAAAAAAGTATGATTTCAAGTTTCCCATCTCATGGTATTTTAATTTCTGAATACAATAAAAATTCTGCCAGTATCCAGTTTTACAAATTCTTCTTTCCCAAGAAAAAATAATACATATAAATATCTACAGTTATCACATAGAAACAAATCTGAATCCTATAATCTGAAACATGACCATATAAACAATAGGTTTACTGTTCATTTCAAAAATTACCAATTATTGTGTGAGATTGACGTGATGTATGATAACTGTAACTGGGTTATTAATGGTATTTGTTAATCGATTAATCATCAGCCCCATTAATTGTTCACATGGAATGAATCAATTAGTACAGTGTTGCTCAAACCATGGTATGTATGAGAAGAAAAATATTGGTCTGATACCTTCCCTCTAACCAGCATTTCACCATGAATCGCCACAAAAAATTTGGTGGTGGGTACTGCCATCCACTTGTCTTCCCTCTAGTCAGCAATTCAACAAAAAAGAAAAAAGGGTGAGCTAGTTTGTTAGCATTATTCAATTATTTGAATAGCTGTAATAATCAAACAGTAGTAATTGGAAACCTCAATTTTGAGTATTTATTTTCATTGTAATAGATATAGTTATAACTTTGATTAATCAATTGTTGGAATAATCATAAACAATAATAACACAAGCCTGTATATTGAAACTTCATAAAAGTTTTGGTATTAATAATGGATTTTCCATAATTCAGCTATGCAGATTAAGAAATTAGTATTAATTTTTTTGTATCATGTAAAGATTTTTTACAAATCGGGAAGATCAAATTATTTTATTTACCACAATGAACATTTATTATTATGTTTGTTAACAAAAATACAAACAAACTGAAGAAAAGGGAAGAACATTAATGCCAAATGAATATGCATCCTCATTCATTCTGATTTTTTTGTGAAATCTGTCTTTTAGTTTTAAAACTACGTGTTGAGGTCTTTCTTTTATGTATTGCATCTGGAGCATCTCGTTTCAATGACCAGCAATGATCAGCCATCGTGCTGATGTTCCACCTTCCCTAATACCTCCTGTCCATTTCCCTGATGTCAATATGTGAGTGTAAAAAATGAACTTTGAAGCTCATACTACAACCCAACTCTTTGAATTTATCAAGCATGTTATTGGCAATATTTTCATAATTTGGGTCTTTGTAGTTTCCTAAACATTTGTCAATATTACATCTTTAAAGGCAATCCACACTTCTTTTTCAACTTTCCTCATTGTCCTTTTGAACTGTTTACTTGAAGTCAATTTCCTAACCTGAGGCCCAACAAAAAATCCCTTCTTTAAGTTTTGCTTCTGAAAGAGCTAGGAATTGCTCACATAGATACATGAAACAGTCACTATCTTTGTCTAAGGCCTTTACAAACTGCTTCATCAAGCCCGATTCTATGTGAAGTGGAGGTAATAGGACTTTCTTTGTGTAAACCAAACTTTCACATTCAATGTTTTTCGATGCTGGTATTAGACTCACTCTGTGTGGCTACTGCTTCTTTATCCAGTGTTGATTTTGTGTTCTGCTGTCCCATTCACACAAAAAACATGGAAACTTTGTATAACCAGTTTGTTGACCCAACAACATACAAAGGACTTTTAAGATTCCACAAAGTAGCCAACCATGTTCTTTGTATTTGACCTTATTAAGAAGATGTTCGACATTTTCGTATGTTTCCTTCAAGTGAACCGAATGAGCAATAGGAACAGATCCATATATGTTACCATTGTGAAGGAGTACACTGTCAGATTTAAAAAAAAATATATTATATATATAAGTTCTTCTTTTTGCCAATTGTTGAAATAAATGGCTTTTACTTATATTTCTTAATAGTATAAATATATACTATGTTGTTGTTGGGGTTAGGATTCTTCAACAGTAGGTGTCTGTGACTTGTTAGTGAAAAATTCAATGATGAATAAACAGCACAAACTTTACTTGTTTTCAAACAATATATATATTTGGAACAAGTTAAACGTATATACAAAAAAGTGTTCACACTATAGTGAATATAAGCATATAGTAAACGTTATATCAGTATATGTATAGTTCTCGTCTTCTTGTCAAAAGTCCACTTAGGCCTGTTCAGTTACTTTAGAACCTCAGTTGACAAGCCAAACTATTTTCTACTAATACTATCACAATATTAGTCTGGTGTGATTCACCTACGATTGTGGTCTTCTTCTTCGCAGTATTTATTGGTTCTAGTTGGTGGTGGGTGGGGTCTTTGGTAGTGTAAAC